TCAATCTCTCCGTTAGTGTCCACTGAAGACATCACTTCTTCGTATAGTTTTTGCTGAACGTCTGGATTGAGAGCCAATTCATACGTTGCGAACGACAGAGTAGTGGCAGTCGTCTCATAACCGGCGACGAAGAAAATCCAAGCGTTGGCCAGAATCTCATCGTCAGTGATGTAGTGCTCCACTCCTGACATCACTTTCTTCTGGATCTCTAATTCTTCTTTGCCTTTAAACATAAGATTTCGGTTTATTTTCTGTATTCATAAAGATTTGAAAAATAATTTTAATAACCGATGCATACCTTCATTCACATGATGTGATTCATTGCTATCAAACTCATCGCTTACTTCATTTGCTTTATCTTTTTCTGCGTTTAATAATAAATCAATGAAATCATTGTATTTCTGATTACTATTTTTCCTATCATTGATGATAAGACGGGTCAGTTTAAAGAAGAATTGACAGGAAGTCTCTTCAATCGCGTGCTTCATATTTATGAATTTCATCACAAATTTAGGTAACATTATAGACAACACAAGTCTATATGACTTTGGATTGAGGGCTTTGTGAGCATTCTTAATGAACGGACTGTTGGGGTCTTTATATGAGTTAGTTTTGGTGGCGAAAGCACAGGTAGATATGACATCCATTGTTAGGTTTCCATACATTAATTTCATGTCCACCTCCTTCTTATCGTTGGCATACATTTCCAACGTATTCAACAACTCATCCAAACACTGCTTAATCATTGGAAACATTTTCTTCATTCTGCCGGACGAGAAGGTGGGGCTGACTATAGATCGGATACGTTTCCATTGGTTCCCATTAGTGGCCAACAGATTGTTTACCAAAATCGGGTGTGCCTTCGACTCCAAGATTGCATTTGTTGACTTATAGTCAAACACGTGAAAGTCCTTCACTAATATATTTTTGATGAGTTCCGGTTCACCCACTGTTAGGATTGGTGTATTTCCGTCGAAAGTACTATTAAATTATAAAAGTTTTAAATATACAACTTTATCAAATTTATTAATTAATTATGTTATCAAAT